CTGAGAATTCTTTGATTCTTAGATCTTTGCCAACATATCCAAAGGTGAATTTCCTGGCAATTGTACCTTCCAAACAGCTCAGCAGAAAAAAAAAAAAGACAAAAGCAACTGTTGTGTGTCGACAGTGCACAAAAGCGCAAAGCAGCAGAATGTGAGCAAAGGGACACAGATGTTTGTGAAACTATTCTTCAACTTTTCTACAAATTGGAAACATTTTCAAAATAAAGCCTTAGAAAAAACAGCTCTGATGCTTCAGGACTTCAACAGGAGGGGACTCTTGACCCCTGGCTGGCCAGGATCTCACAGGTGCCTGCTTCACAATGCACAACAGCAAACACAGCAACTGCCTTGAGAGCAGGTAACAGGGGACCTCCAAGATTCCAACACAAGCATCCAGGTTGTGACCATACAACCCTTGGAAAAGAAATCAGGTTTTAGATGGGGGTGATTAAAATATTTAATTAAGACATCCACAGATTCCCCACAGCCCAAACAAGGCCAGAGTTATAAACTCTTGATGTAGAGGAAGCACCAAGGTAGGGGGCTAGCAAGATGGTTCAGTGGGTAAAGGTGCTTGCTGCCAAGCTTAACGACCTGAGTTTGATCCCCGGAATGCACGTGGTCAAAGGTGGGAAGTTACTCCTGCAGGTTGTCCTCTGACCTCCACTTGCATACCACATATATACATACAAACGCACAAATAAATATAATTTTTTTAAAAATTTACAAAGAAGCAAGAGCTTAGGACATAGCTCAGAGGAGTTATGGGAGAGGAAGAGGGGCTATAAGAACAGAATGGAAGACGCGGCAGCTAACAACCTTCTCTAACTCCAGTTGCGGAGGATCTGAAGACCTCTTCTGGCCTCCACAGGCACCTCTTCCACACCCCCACACACATATAATTTTTTTAAAAATCAACAAGAAATGTACCCCCAAAATGTGATTTGTAAAAACTAGATTTTAGCCCTATCCATGTGGCATGCAATGCTAATCACTTTAAGAGATGAGGGGCGAGAGACACACTAAAACTACATGACACGTTTCTAGTTTCACCAACCACATCACTGGCCTACAAGCCACCACTCCATCAGCTTGGACCTTCCCCCAGATACCTGGGGAGCACAGAGACTCCAGCTGATCCTTCCCTTGTGCTCTTCCTTGTTTGGAGCTTTCTAAGGATAAGGCAGACCTTGGAGATTTTTAGCATGCTCTTTCAAAGAACAAGCACTATTTGATGTCCAAGCAAGTCCAAACACCAAGAGATAAGAGATCAAAGACCCTAAAAGCAAGTCCAAACCAAACCTCAGAATCCAGAGAGATGAGAAAGATCAGAAATGACCCCACCAGAGACATTCATCACTCAATAGGGGCTGGTCCCAAAGATAGAAAAGCAGAGCTAGGTGAGGGGAAAAGAGAAATCCACTTGGCCACCCAAATGGGCACCATCAAGTACCAGGATGAAGCCAGCTTGTCACCAGCTGGACAAACCCCAAATTGGAGTAGGTTCAGCTCCACTGGGAGATCCACCACCCAGAATGGACCTACCGAGTCAGCATTTGCACCCATCTATCAAGTTGCTCACAGTCTTATCGATAGATCATAATGGCAGAAATAAAGTGTTCTCTCACGCTGGTCTCCTCTGGTTACACAGTCTGACCACTGCCACTGGGAAAGCCGAGAGCTTTTCATCATCGAACACATTTGCAAAACTCATTGGCTTTAACAAACTGTTCCCCAAACACCTGGCTTGCGTGGTCTGACCAGAGTGTGCTATATCATATTCAGAAAGAGCTTATAGGCTCCCATTTGCCTGGAAAAATACCCAACAGCTGACAGAAAACTGAAACCCCATCTTGGCTCTGGAGAAACATTCACATCAAGGAGACAAACACACAAGACCATTTGGTCAGATTTAATAAGCTTTGACAAAATCCAGGTGAAGGGCTCTATCCAGAAAAACAGAAGAATCTTATGAAAGGCTTCAAGAAATAATTCAGGAAAGGAAAAAAAGACGCAAAGCCCTGCATCGCTGTGGTAGAAGGCAACAGGAATCCAACTCCACAAATGATGCCAGTCGTGAACACCGTGTGCTGTCTCTCATTTGTGGTTTCTAAGTTTTTATAGTCACCTAAAATCGTGTATTTATATACTAAATGAAATCAGAAGTAAAACTGTCTAGGGGATTCATGGGAGGGGAAGTGGGAAGAAAAAGAAGACGGGGGGCGGATACTCAAAATAACTTCAAGAAAAATTTTAAAGCATAGCAATTTCCAAACATCTTGAGATTGAGAGGCTTTTTTCTGTCCCCTCCACACCTTGAATTTTCATGCTTTGTCTAAGATGTAATCAAATTTAAGCCTCATTAACTTTTTTTTCTTCTTTGAACAGGCTCTTACTTTGTAGTTCAGGCTGGCCTGAAACTCGGACTCCTCCTTCTCCACCTCCTGAGTGCTGGGATTACAAGTGTGTACTGCCATATCTGACCCAAAACATTGACTTATAAATCCTCATCCCCTCCCTCCACCCAAAGATTGCAGACAAGAACACCATGGAACTGACTTTAAACATATCTAGTCTGTAATATTCTGAAGGTGAGACACGAGGGACACCATTTCTGAAGTTTAAGAGAAACAATTCCTCATTCCAACAAGGTCTGCTATATTTTACGTGCAGAGGGGCAAGGCTGTGTGTGCCACTCAGGAGAGCTCCACTCACCACGTGTGAGCACTCAGTCACATATAGGCATGCTTGTTATAGAGCCCTAGTGTGTCCGCAGTGGGTTTAGGTTTGAAACTCTAAGCTCCAGTGTGTCTCTGCTAAGAATAGGGCTCGCCTCCCCAAGCCTACAAATGCTGAAAGCCAGGAAAGGAATGGTTCCTGCTGTGAGAGAATCCAAATGATGGGGCAAGGCTGCAGCCCGAGCAAACAGATCCACTGAACTGCTGCTCAATCCCTACAGCCTCCACCATGGACCCCCGGAACCCCCAAGGATCATCTGCCCTGGCCCCCACACAAGGGACACGGGGTGACTCCACAAATGCATGCTGGCACTGGCATAAAATGAAGACAAATATTAGCTCCTTCAAGGGAAGTTTTAAAAGTCCATGGCTAAAATGAACTCAATTATAAAATAAATCTTGAGTCTTGAGGAAGAACACGCTGGTGGCTACAGCTTTACAAAATCTAAAGATTTTTCTATTCAAATCCCACCACCAAACATCTGTGTAATTAAACCAGAACTCTCTGATGGGCTTCCATGAAAGGAACCACCCCAGCAGCTGGGGGGTGGAGTTCAGTGGTACAGAGCTCATCTGCATACATGCACAGCCCTGGGTTCCACCCCCAGCACAGTAAAAAACAAAGGGAAACAAACAAAAAACAATGATCACTCAAAACCTTCCATCTTGGACCACTTTTATCATAAAATATTTATCAATATCCAAGGGATGCATCTGCAAAGGGGAAATTTTCTATTCACGTTCCTTCAACAACATAGAGATGGGCAGGGGACAGGCAGCTTGGGAGACAGCAAATGTCATTTTCAGTTTCCCAGGCAAGTGGTTTTAAATACATAAACAGTGAAGGTGTGATTTAAGTAAATCTTTGTTTGAATATATGCAAAGTCTCTTATTCTCACCCCCGCCATCTCCCAAACAGAAAAAACAAACCCAAGCAAAGTTCAACACATCTTTTTATATACAAACAGGTTAATGGTACAGATGAAATACCTGTAGCAAATGCCCTTTAGAAAGATGTGAATAAAATGAAAACTCTCAGCATAAAGGGCCTGTCCTCTTCACTGGTGCTGCCCAGAGAGCCTATTCTTAGCTGAACACTTGCGGGGCTTACTGTGAAGACCAGAAAGAAGCCCCTTTGGACCTAGGCGAGAGCCTTGCCATCTCCCCACAGAGAAGAGGTGACTTGAAGGTCATCTGCTGCCTAGGACCTGGGCATGATTAAGCTGTTGTCTCAAGACTTGGGTCTGTTCCTCAAGTTGCTGATTAAGCAGCTCAGTTTCCTGGCAGTGGCCCAGAGGGAGGAAAGGAACCTGCAATAGTGTGAGGAAGTAAAAAACTCTGGGTATTTTGATTTAAAAAAAAAAAAAAAAAAAATCTTGATAATCAATGGAACCCTGTCAAGCCAAAGTATCAAATTCACCAGAGGGAAAAACTGTAATTTTGAAAGCCAGGAAAGGAATGGTTCCTGCTGTGAGAGAATCCAAATGATGGGGCAAGGCTGCAGCCCGAGCAAACAGATCCACTGAACTGCTGCTCAATCCCTACAGCCTCCACCATGGACCCCCGGAACCCCCAAGGATCATCTGCCCTGGCCCCCACACAAGGGACACGGGGTGACTCCACAAATGCATGCTGGCACTGGCATAAAATGAAGACAAATATTAGCTCCTTCAAGGGAAGTTTTAAAAGTCCATGGCTAAAATGAACTCAATTATAAAATAAATCTTGAGTCTTGAGGAAGAACACGCTGGTGGCTACAGCTTTACAAAATCTAAAGATTTTTCTATTCAAATCCCACCACCAAACATCTGTGTAATTAAACCAGAACTCTCTGATGGGCTTCCATGAAAGGAACCACCCCAGCAGCTGGGGGGTGGAGTTCAGTGGTACAGAGCTCATCTGCATACATGCACAGCCCTGGGTTCCACCCCCAGCACAGTAAAAAACAAAGGGAAACAAACAAAAAACAATGATCACTCAAAACCTTCCATCTTGGACCACTTTTATCATAAAATATTTATCAATATCCAAGGGATGCATCTGCAAAGGGGAAATTTTCTATTCACGTTCCTTCAACAACATAGAGATGGGCAGGGGACAGGCAGCTTGGGAGACAGCAAATGTCATTTTCAGTTTCCCAGGCAAGTGGTTTTAAATACATAAACAGTGAAGGTGTGATTTAAGTAAATCTTTGTTTGAATATATGCAAAGTCTCTTATTCTCACCCCCGCCATCTCCCAAACAGAAAAAACAAACCCAAGCAAAGTTCAACACATCTTTTTATATACAAACAGGTTAATGGTACAGATGAAATACCTGTAGCAAATGCCCTTTAGAAAGATGTGAATAAAATGAAAACTCTCAGCATAAAGGGCCTGTCCTCTTCACTGGTGCTGCCCAGAGAGCCTATTCTTAGCTGAACACTTGCGGGGCTTACTGTGAAGACCAGAAAGAAGCCCCTTTGGACCTAGGCGAGAGCCTTGCCATCTCCCCACAGAGAAGAGGTGACTTGAAGGTCATCTGCTGCCTAGGACCTGGGCATGATTAAGCTGTTGTCTCAAGACTTGGGTCTGTTCCTCAAGTTGCTGATTAAGCAGCTCAGTTTCCTGGCAGTGGCCCAGAGGGAGGAAAGGAACCTGCAATAGTGTGAGGAAGTAAAAAACTCTGGGTATTTTGATTTAAAAAAAAAAAAAAAAAAAAATCTTGATAATCAATGGAACCCTGTCAAGCCAAAGTATCAAATTCACCAGAGGGAAAAACTGTAATTTAGCATTCCAGAATCTACACAGGCAAGCGTTTTCTGTAGGAAGATCATTGCTTAGCACCAATTTCTCACTCTGAGAATTTTTCCTTTTCCTTCGAGCCCTTGGCTGTGAAGAGCACTTTGGGGACTCAGCTCGGAGGTACTTTTAATCAGTAACTAGGTGTGTCACACACCACAGGACAGCATCCAGTTCACACTGGAGGCAGCTCTCCTTGGGGGTCATGCTGCCGTGGGGAAGGTGAGTGGCTCCACAGTGTATTCCTGTGTCCAGGCCACCGGCTTTACTCAAAGCGACGCAGATGGTTGTAGAGCGACTGCACATAGGTGAACACACACATGGGGTCCGGCTTGCGGCCCATCACCATCATATCCTCCACTTCAATCAGGCGCTCACAGTTGGCCAGATTCCTGAAACATAGAAACCCCATCAGAACACAGTCCCAGCAAGTGGCCAGCCCTGCAACAGGGCCATTGTCACTGTCCCCAACCAGAAATCAACCTGGACCCAAGACGTTCAAGTGAACGGCAGCAGAGAATTCAAATAATTCTAAGAGAACCTTTAGAGTCACCTAGGCCACGCAGTTTTCCACAAACCATCCATACAATTAATATTTTGATTTAGACTTATGTAAACTTTAAGTTAAATTCAAGTAAAAAATTACATATTTGTAATATATTATATGGCAAATCACCATGAACTGTAAAAATAAATATAAACTAAAGAAAAAAAAAAAAAAAGGTTACCCTTTGCTTCCTGAAACGGTATGGTTTTGTTGGGGTTTTTTTTTTTTTTTTTTTTTTTTTTTTTGAGATTCAGGCTTACTGTGTAGCTCAGCCTGGCCTTGAATTCATGATCCTCCTGCCTCAGCTTCCCAAAAGATGGGATTATAGACATGTGCCTCCACACCTAGATCTGAAATAGGGTTTTCAAACTTTGAAAAAAAAACTTGATCCACAGGGACTGGGGAGATAGCTCAGTTGGTAAAGTTCTTGTCTTATAAACACGGACCTGAGTTCAAGCCTCAGAACCCAGGTAAATAAATAAACAAACAAACAAATAACAAAAATAAAATGTTTGGTGTAATGCGCACACTTCTAATCCCAGCACTGGAGAAGCAGAGACAAGCAGATCCCTGGGGCTCACTGGCCAGTCATCCTGGCCTACTTGATGAGCTCCAGGCACCTGAAGAACGACACCTGAGTTGTCCTCCGGCCTACACACACACACACACAGAGAGAGAGAGAGAGAGAGAGAGAGAGAGAGAGAGAGACACGTGCACTCACATACACAGATATACTGTACAGATACACAGAAAGATGAGAGAGAGAGAAAGAGAGAGAGGCATGTGCACTCACATACAGAGGGAGAGGTACATGTGTACACACATACAGATGCACTATACGCATACATGCATAAACACACACACACACACACACACATGCGCACGTGCACACACAAACATAACCCAGTAAGGAAGATATTTTCCACCATGATTCAGCACATATACATGCACAGTTGGCTCTCTGTAACCACAGGCTCTGCAACCACGGATTCAACTTGGCTTATAGCAAAAGTATTAAAGAAATGATGCCCTCTCCTGGCCCCTCCAGGCACATACACACAGATGCACACAGATGCGCACACACACACACACACACACACACACACACATGTAAAAATAACTCTTTAAAAAACATACATTAAAGTTGGGTGTATAGGCACACACCTTTAATCCTGGTACTCAAGAGGCAAAGGCAGGTGGATCTCTGTGAGTCCTAGGCTAGCCTGGACTATACAGTGAATTCCAGGCCAGCCAGAGTTACATAGTAAGGCTCAATCTGAAAAAACAATTGTTTTAAGAAAAAAGTATATCCATACTAAACATATACAGACTTCTTTTCCTTCCAATTATTCCCCAAACCATAAAGGATAATAACAGTTTACACAGTACTTACACTGTGTTAGATATTGTTTTTTAATTCTAAGAATCAGGCATAATGGCATACACCTATAATCCCAGCACTTGAGGAGGCTGAGGCAGGAGGATTCTAAGTTCAAAGACAGCCTGGGATACATAATGAGACTCTGTCTAAAAACATACATACATACATACACACATACATACATACATAATCTGGAGGTGATTTTGAAGTATACACAAAGATTATGCATAGGTTACATACAAATACTATGTCACTTTATATAAAGGATTTGAACCTCTGAACTTTGGTTTCTGGGGGCTTCTCCCATGGATACTAAGAGATGATTCACTCTATGTGGAAATAAACTTTCACAAACATTCTTCTCTTTACTGATATTTTCTCTGTATTTTATGCTTATTTCTCTCTCTTGCCTTTTATAACTGCTAGTCATGAACTACTACAATAATGTTATAAAGTACTAATGGCTCATAACTGGCAGTTTTAAAAACTGCACAAATGATATAGGGGAGATGGCTTGGAGAGTAAAGTGCTTGCTGCCCAAGCACAAGGACCTGAGTTCAATCCCAAGCATGCACAAAAAAAGCCCATGCTTATAATCCTAGCACTGGTAGGCAGAGACAGGAGGATTTCAGGGGCTCACTAGCCTGCTAGTCTAGCCAAGTGGTGAGCTTCAGGTTCAAAGAGAGACTCTGTCTTGAAAAATAAGGTGGAGATCGGTAGAGGAAGACTCCTGATGTCAAATTCTGGCCAACACACACACAGCAGAGCAGATCATGGGGAAAAGAGGCTTGGATATAAAATCTAAACTGCTGACTCAGATTGCCAGCCATGCCAATCTTTTGATCTGTCTGTGCCCATTTCCTGGGCAAACAGTCAGAATCCACCTCTGCCCTCCATCCCATAGGGATTGTTAGAGGCTATGCTTCCTCAGTGTCTTTATGCATCTGGTGGCCCAGAACCAGCCAAAAGGGAGACCCCAGTGATTAAGCCAGGGCTCCTCAGACCTACCCAGAGCTTGCAGTGAGCTCAGCACAGCTCATGCAGGACTTTGAACACTCACGGCTCTATGGGCTGTGTGTTCCCAAGACAAAGACAGTAACATTACCACCAGGCCCTGCTCTGCAGAGCTGGCCAGAAACCAAATGTCAAGGCGAAATGGAGACATCTGTCCCGGATCCCATCCTCCATCCCATCCCCGCCTCCCCTCTGGGCTGCAGTGGGTAACCTGTAAGGGAACCCAGAGGCTTCATGGGGTAATGAGTGTGTTTAGCACCTTCTCTCCCTAGGACAAGCCAAAGCAGGGTTCAGTTGTCAAAAGACAGCATTCAAAAGGTACTTAATGGCCAAGAACTAAAAAGTCTTGAGTTCTTCAGAGGCTAGGGACCTTCCAGAATCATTACTTGTCATTTGGTATCTTATCGCCACCAAACCTTGCAGGGGTTTCTGCTCCTCAATTCCTCACTGTCAGGTCTGCTATTCAGGGACCCCAGATGCATACAAATGGGCTCCATGTGAGCCCAGGGTGTCATCACTGTCAGCAGTGGCCTCAATGGTCCTTTGTGTTAAATGAGCACAGCACTAGAGACCCAGGACCTCAGCCTTGGAAGAGAACTCACACTCCATGAAGGCTCTCCCTCGGCTTCCTCCCCTCCAGGTCCAGGACTGTCCTGACCCCTCTGCAGGAGGCTGCCCCAACAAGGAAGCTGTACCTTATGGGGCAGGTAGATGCTCTTTTGCTTCTTTGTTCCCACAAAATTATTCTCTTCTCACTACCCCCCCCCCACGGCCCGCCCCAAGAAAGCCCTTCACATACTGGAGGAGAAGCTGTATACCCATGTCTTTCTCTAAAATGAAATCTCTCTGCTTCCTTAATCATCACCCTGGTGTCACCCTCCGCTACAGACAGCAAGTCATGGGCAAGGTGCTAGCTTCCCCTACAGGCCAGCAGGGTGTTGACACCCACCCCACCCACTGTTGTTTCTAAGTTGAACAGATGCACGGGATGCTGAGAAAAGGGATCACAGTATACAACATGTAACCACCATCTCTCAGTACCCTCTTTCTTTCCTGTGCCACCTCCAGCCCCTCACTCACTTCCTCCTCTGAGGAGCTCCAAATTCTCTAGCCCGCAGGGAGAAAAGCGTCCCTGTCTTTAAGGCCATTACCTGGGCTACAGCAGACCTTCGAGGACACTTGCCTTCTACTCCACCTTGTCCCTGCAGACGGTACCTGCTCCTTCTGAGACACTGTGGTGCCAGCTACAATGGTAATAAGATTCCTAGAACTGCCAAATAGGAAAGCACAGGGACACCCGCCTGCGGCCACCGCTGCCACTCATGTTTCCCAGAAGACAGAGAACACAAGACAGTGATGATTACTGTTGACTTTTATCAAAAGATTTAAGTCTTAAAATATTAGAGGCCCCAGGTGGCCTTTATACTTTAAAATGTGTCTCTGTCAAAACGATCCAAGCTCATTTTGAATAATTCAAACTACATAGAAAAGTTCACTGGAACACAAATGATTTCAAATGCCACCCCACAGCCTGAAGCAGGAGCAACTAGTCTGCACCTTGAAGGGCTTCTCCTACTGTTTACTGTATCTTCAGCTACCCTAGGCCATGGAGGAAGGACTGTAGGGGGTATTTTTTTAAGACTGTCCTAAATGCAGACCAGGGCTGGGACTACTGCCTCTGGTTTTAGACAGAGACACATGGGCACTACAAATAGCGCTAGAGCCACTTCTGCTGGGTGTAACCGGAGAGCAGGCACATTCCACTCAGGGCAAGCGGGAAGCCCTGGGCTGCACGTCCTGTGGCCGCACACTGCCCTGCACAGGGGTGGGACGGAAAGGTGCAGAAGGGTCAGGCACCCGCCCACTCAGCCCCTTCCATAAAAGGAGCTGGTCCACCCTTGTTCCAGGCCCTAAACACCTGTCAGGCAAGGGATGCTTTTGCTGTCAACACGGGACTCACTCACACAGATTAAGCCACAAGGAATTACAGAGGGGAGGGGCAGTGTTTACTCCAAAGCTTCCCAGTGTATCTTTGTGTCCTGAAGATACACACTGGTTAGTTTTTGTGAACTTGACACAAACTACAGTCATCTGGGAAGAAGGGACCTCAACTGAGGAGTTTCCTCCATCAGACTGGCCCATGGGCATGTCTGTGAGGATTTTCTTAATTGTTAATTGATATAGGAGGGCCCAAACTACTCGCCCAATGCCATCTGTGGGCAGGAGGGTCTAGGCTGTATAAAAAAGGTACTGAGCAAACCAGGGGAAGCAAGCCAGTAAGTAGCGTTCCTCTATGGTCTCTGCTTCAGCTCCTGCCTCAGCTTCCCTCAATGATGGACTTGTGCGTTGGACATGGAAGCTAAATAAACCATCCCCTCTCCCCCAAGTTGCTTTTGGTCATGATGTTTATCACAGCAACAGAGAAGTCAAACTAGAAGACCCTAGGAAACATTTTCCTACTGGATATATAGTTTGGGAACATCATCAGGACCTTTCTCTGGATCCCAGGCTCCTCTCCACTCAGGCTGTCAGCTCCTAAAGCTGCCTTTCTGAGCCACCCTCTGCCTTCAGGGCTCATAATGCCTTTCACTGGTCCCCTGCGTCCTCTCAGATGTTGCTGGCTAACCCTAAGACAATCATACTGGCTCCAATATTCTAAAGCAGGTGTTCCAGTGCAGCTTTCCTAACCAGCTACTGTCCAAGAAACTAGGGATTCAACCAGCTGTCTTTCCAAGAGGCCCCTGGGGGCAGGCCCATCTCTGCAGCCCTCTCTCCCTTGTACCTGGGAGATAATCTCACAGATGACTCATAAGGGGAGGTATGTTCCCAGGCTCAGGGCAAGCTCTCCACAGAGACCTGCCTCTGATGCCCCTCCCCACTCTTTACAGTCAGCAGAAAAGCCAGAACTCATCTTGGAGGCCCCATCACACCCTGCTCCCCTCCCCAACTGAGAGCAGACTCAGGCCACTGGGAGGCAGGGCCAAGGTCTTACTCTACTGTTTGCTCTGGGAAAGGAGGGAGCCAAGCCCTGGCCCAACCCCCACTCCACCCCAGGCTGAGAATAGAAGAAACATCTGTGTGAAGTCTGAAGGCTCCATGCACTCAAATCTCATGCTAGAAGGCACATCCTGGAATCCCTCTGGCCCTGGCTGCCTAGGGAAGCTCTGTTCCATGGAAGGTGGGGCACATGGCCACCACCCCATGGCCCAGGCTATCCCTCTCCCTGCTAAGCCCAGCGGAGTTCTTTGGCTATAGGTGACCAAGGTGGCCAGAGCATAAGCTGGCACTGCTTTGCCCACTAGACTTAGAGGATAAAGAACTCTCTAAACCAGGCCTGGCCTCCCCAGTGGGGTAGGTCTTAGGGTGCCTAAGTGGAAGCCCTGATCCCACACATTCTAGCAGTATGATTTTGATTTTTGACAGTCATTCCTTAGTTTTAAGCAGCTGGGCCTCCTCCTGTGAGACACCCCCCTCAACATCATGCCGCGACACTTGGCGTGACTCCACCATCGTCTGGATCCAGTTGCATAACACACTCGTCCAAGCTGTTTCTGCTATTAGGATGACAGCTAATCCCAAGCAGCCAAGAAAGACAAGGCTTTGAAAGTACACAAAGCACTCCTATGACCCCAGAGGGACATAGAGTCCAAGGCAATACAACAGGCAGGGACCCCTATCCCTAAGACTCAGGTTGAGGAACTCCAAACCAGAGCCTCTGTTCTGCCCCTAGAGTGAGCACCTCTACCCTAGAGAGGGATAGAGGCCATGGGTCCAGGCAGGCCTCCAATACCAAGAGTAGGTTATGAGACCCATTGGCTCCACTCCTTCCCTGGCCAGGCTCTGGGCCTAGTGTAGGGGGCGGGGGCTGGGTAGTTGGACTGGAAATGGAATGAAGATAGCAAACAAAGCCTGGAGTGAGGCCTCCTTCTACCCAATGAGGACAAATGAAGATGTCAGACAGAGCTCAGACCAGGACAAACATGGTCCCTCAGAAGCCTGGCAACACGAAGCACAAAAGCACGATAAACGGCATCACCCCTGGGAACAGCAGCTTTGGAGTGGGCCTTACTCCTCTCTAACCTTCAGAAAGCCCGGAGCACCATACCTGTGTCCTGCTCTCTTGCTTCAGGAGTTGTGATGCTCTACTGGGGGGTGGTACCCTGACCCTTCTGACTGGGGTTAACCAACAAGGGGCCCTGAGGCAAGGACAAGAAGTAAATGAGGTCAAAGCATTTATCCTGGGGTGACCCTCCCTGCCAGGTCAGGGTGAACTGTCTGCATCCTCATGTTCAAGGCACAGTTCCTGTCAGGCAGCTCCTGTCAGGCAGCCTTGGCTTCAGCAACAGCAAGCCCAGGGCTGGTAGCACCCTCCCCCAAATTTGTCCCCCTAGGTATGGGAGAAGGCAGGTGGCATGGTTTGAATATGGCTTGTACTCACTCAAACTCATGCTGAGGCATGGTCCTTAATGTAACAGTGTTTAGAAGTGGCAGGGGTTTTAAGAGAATACTGCCACACTGCATCTATCCTGCTTCTCTCACTCCTTCCCATATCCTTGGAAAGAGTCCTTATAAGAAACACACCCAGGCACTGGAGAGATAGCCTAGCAGTTAAGATCACTTGCTGCTCTTGCATAGCACTTGAGTTTGGTTCCCATCACCCACATGGCAATTCACAACTGTCTGTAATTCCAGTTCCAGGGGACTGAGGCCTTCTGCTGGCCTTGCTACCCGGGAGCACATGTGGTGCACTACCCTACCTACATGCATACACATAAAATATAAGTAAAATCTTAAATCAAAAAATAGGGACGGGCGTTGTGGTGCATGCCCTTCAGAGGCAGGCAGATCTCTGTGAGTTCACAGCCAGCCTGGTCTACGTAGGGAGTTCCAGGACAGCTGGGGCTACAGGGAGACCCTAGCTCCAAAAAAAAAAGAAAGAAATACATCTTGTGACTGTTCATCTTTATTGTTAACCTGAATAAATTTCAAATCACCATGGAAACATACTTCCAGGTGTTTCCAAAGTGCTTCCAGAGGCGTTTAACTGAGGAGGGAAGACCCACCCTTAAGGTGAACACCTCTATCCAATGGGCTGGCATCCCCAGACTGAAGGAGGAAGCAAGCTGAGCCCCAGCATTAAGCTCTCTCTGCTTCCAGCCTGTAGGTGCAATGTGACCAGCTGCCTCACACTCCCGCTGCCTTGCCTTCCCTGCCAGGATGAACTGTATCCTTACACTGTGAGCCATTAAAAACAATCCCCCCAATCCCATCCTTCCTTAAGATGCTTTTACCAGGTATTTTGTCACAGCAACAAAAAAAGGAACTAATACACACCCCATCCAGCTGGAATACACCCCACCCCTTGGGATACACACCCCACCCAGTCAGAACACACACCCATGCCCTGGCAGGGTCCTGATACTCTGGGGGTTGCTCTTGGCCAAACACACAAATCCCAAACAGGTTTTCCAAGGACATCCTGGTCCCAGAACTCCCCATCTATGAGTGGGACATACAAGAGAAGTGCCATGCTTTGACTATGTCTTGCCCCCACCCAACCACATGTTGAGGCCTGATCTCCAATATAATGGTGTTGAAAGGTGGTGGGGCTTTTAAGAGTTATTTAGATCTTTTAGATCGTCAGGAATCCACCCTCATCAAAGGATTAACATGGTTCTCACAGAATGAGTTAGTTACCTGGAAAACAGATTGCTATAAAGCACCAAGCCCCCTTTTCCCCCCTCCTCTCTTGCACATGTGCCCACTTGCCCCTCTGCCTTCCACCATGGGCTGAAGCAGCATGAAACCCTCACCAGAGGCCAAACAGACCCCAGCAGCATGAGCTTGGACTTCAAGCCTACAGAACCAGGAGCCAAAATAAACCTCTTTTCTTTATGAAGCGCTTAACCTCCATTGTTCTGTTATAGCAACAGAAAACAGCCTAAGGTCAGAGGTAATTTCTCAGTCCACACTAAGACAGTATTTAGGGAAACAAAATCTACTTTTTGAAATATATCAAGCATACACAATTTCATGCTGAGTAGGAGCTGGGGCTCATCCAAGCAACTGCATCTCTCCACTACCCTGAGGGGACAGACTCAGTGCCCCTACCCCACTGCCCCTCAGGGCTGATTTCCCACACTATACTGTAGAGGCTGAGCACACAACAAGGAGTCAGAAACAACACAAACAAGGAGCCCTGCTCTATCACTGAATAATGTGTGGCCCTGGGCAAATCCCTCACCAGCCTCAGTCTTCCAATCTATACAAGTGAAAGACAGAGGGCTGGAGAGATGGCTCAGCAGTTAAGAACACTGACTGTTCTTGCCGAAGACCCAGGTTCAAATCCCAGCACCCACATGGCAGCTAACAACTGTCCGTTCCAGGGGATCTGACAGTCTCTTCTGTCCTCCACAGGCATTGCATGACATGGGTGCACTTACCTACATGCAGGCAATACAAACACACACATAACATAAAAATAAAAAATATTAAAAAAAAAAAGTGAAAGACAGATGGAAGTCCTCACGGTCACTCAGCTCACCAGAAAAATGTCCCAAGTATACCTAGAACAGATGTGGAGCTCAGGGTCTAGACTAGGACCAGTAGCCAGGGGGACTTGCCATACTCACTCTGCCATGGTGAAGGCCAGCTCAAAGTTCTTCTGCCGTTGTGTGGGGCTCAGGGCATTGTAGTCGAAGGCATCAGGGAAGAAGGAGTGCACCAGGGCACAGAAGGCCATCCCATCACTCCAGCTGGAGGAGAAGTTCTGCAGGTCCACATGCTGTAAGTGGAATGAGTGGAGGTCAGTGGAAGCCCCACTCTTAGCTCTGCTCCTGGCACCCAATTCAACCCTGTGAGCAGATTCTCCTAGCGCCTCCCCAAGCCCCCACCCCACTGGTCAACAAGCTATCACTGCTAGACCTCTTCCTACATCAGTCTGTTTAGGCTGGACCTGATTCTGAGAATTTCTAAGCATATGTTGTAGGTGGTGTGGGTACTGCTCAGAAGGCATGAAATTTCTGGCTCCAATCCTTCCCCAGTCTGATAGGCTTTTGCCCTGCTAGCAAGTCAAGGGGAAGTGAGATGCCTGGCCTGCCTTGGCCCACTGACCTGGTAGCCCACCGTCTTGCTGCGGCACCACTCAAGCAGAATCTGCTTGATGCTGCTGGCACTGGCCACACCGAAGCTCTGAGACCTCTTCAGTTTGGCCCTGGTCTCACCTTTGCCCCTGTGGAGAGAGAGGGCATGCCTGCTCTGGGGGCCTATGATGACTGGGTCAGCACATAGCCTGCACCCCACAGCTCTGTCCACAGTACAACCCCCACACAGCAGCCATCCAAGACCCCTGTAAAGGGGCACAGAGGAAGCAGGAATCACTGGGTAATCCTGAGACAGAGAACCTAAGGGGCACGAACTTCAACCCTCAGCCTAGACCAACTTCCTGTTCCCTTCATCCTGCCCTCCTTCTCAGCTTCCATAGAGCCCAAGTGCAGGCTGTTGGGGCAGTGAGAGCTTCCTGTGCAACTCCTTCACTGATGTTGAGCATCATTACACAAGGTGGGCAGCATCGTGCATACATCAGGCATCAATATCGTGCACTGAGAAGGGAACTGAATAAATATGCAAAGACAGATTGTAGTCCAAGGATCTCAACTCTAACAGGTAGTGGCTGGTGAACCCCTGGGTCCCATTGTGCCATTTCTTCTTCAGTCTCAAGCAAGGCCAGCCCGACAGCTGGGCCTCCTCTGCCAGACTCCCAGGTCATGCCCCCAAAATAGTGGAGCAACAATTCAGTTGTAAGGATGGCCTGTGAACACTGGGGGAGAAGACTGGGGTGTCTCAGAATGGAGGAGAGCAGCTCTCACTAGGCCCAGCTTGGCTCCTAGCCTTACACCCCTCTTCTTCCTATAAAAGGAGCTCCTTGACCTCCAACCAACCCTGTAAAACAGCCCTGACCTTGAGCTAGGCCTGAGAGATCTGATCTTGGGAATACCCCACTGGGAAATGGCCAATGCCCAGACTTGTTATGCTATGCCAGCCTGACTGCGGCCTGGGTTGCACTTGCTTTGGGGGCCCTCAGGACAGTTTGGGGGTGAACATTCTTACTTGCTCGCTGTATCCTGCTCCCACTTCTCAAACAATGCCTTCCGGGCCTGCGCCCCCGAGGTGCGGGGTAGTGTCTGTGACCTCACCAGTTCCCTGCGACGTTCTCCCTGGCGAGGGGTCTGAGTCATGACTGGAGGCTGCGGGGATGGGGGTGACTGTGGTGGGGTCACCAAAGGGGGGCTGAGGAGAGAATCATGAGGTCAGGAACACAGAGTCAGTCATAACTAGCTTCCCTAGGCCCCAGGTGGAACACCCACACTGAGTGTGCATGACACAGGTGGTCTGTGCCCATGATAGGCCCCCAGACCCTTGAGGGGTAGGAGAAGAGCAGGCTCCTCCTGCTCAGGTCCCAACTGGTTTGGCAGGTTTTCTGAACTGAGCTGCCGTCCATAGCATGCCTGGCCAGCAGGCCCAACTAGGAAAGAAAAACGGACCCCTTTCTGGGCGTAACTACCCCCTGGCAGGTGTCACTGCCTGGGGAGAGAAGGGAGCATACCCAGAGCCAGAACCAGCCCCTCCTCCACCACTTCCATAATAGACCCCCTTTGTTCTCCCTCATAAACAATCTTCCGGGAGGTCACATTTCTCCTTTTAATATTATTTAAAAAAAAAAAAAAAAAAAGAGTCATCTTGCTACCCCACCCCCATCCTCAGTTCCAACCACAGGCCAGCTCCATGGGAAGGCCCTGCTGTTTGTCCTAGAGCTGGGCCTCTCTAGGCACCTGCTATGCCTATGGTAGCAAGTACCTAACTAGGAAGAGCCCCAGCTGACCAGATGGAAGAAAGGAAGGTGGAAGGTCATTCCTCCCAGAAAGGCTGAGACCCATACACACCTCTGTGATGTTTTGTTTGGTTTGGTTTGGTTTGGTTTTTTGTGACACGGTCTCCCTTAGCCTCTGCTGGCCTGGAACTCATTATATAGACCAGGCTGGCCTGGATCTCAGAGACCCACCTGCCTCTGCCTCCAGAGTGCTGGAATTAAAGTCATGGGCCACCATACCTGGCTTTCTGAGACTTTTTCTGGACTTGCTTTGAAGGTCAGAGAAGCCAAGCCTGAGCCATGCTTCTCCAAACAAGCTCTCTACCAACTGGTCACTTGTCTCCCCAGCTCTGACCCCTCTATCAGCCCACTACCCTAGTTCCACAGAGTGCCCATCCCTAGACAGTCATCCCAAAGAGCTCCATGAAAGCCAGGTCCAAGGTGGAGCAGAGCAGCCACCTGGGAAGCCATTGACTCACCTGTCCTTGTGTTTGCCTGCTGTGACTGCCCCGTACCCAGAGCCGGACAAAGACCGAGTAAAAGAGGAATTCTTCTCTGTGAGTCGAAGGGAAGACAGAAACAACAAAGTTGCCCTTGTGGGAGCTTGGCTTCAGCCTCCCTTCTGACCCAGCCCTGAGCCATCTACTCAACATCACTCTGTGGACCAGCAAGATCTGGGGTTTAGTGGGCCTCTCTCAGCAAAGTAGAGGACAGTGACATCAAGGGGGTCCTTCTAATTGTTCCCTCCCTATTCTTCATGATACCAATCCAGGGTCTCCAATGCTGTGTGACCAACAAATAATGCCACAACCCCTCCTTTGGAAGCCAGAACAGCACCAGCCCAGGTCACACACTGGAATAGGACCAAAGGCCCAAAACAAATATTCTGGGACTGAGGAGGGGAGCGTATCAAATGTTCAGGGAAACCACGGCCTCCGCCCATTACAAAAGCTGTAGCCAATCTCTAGCTAATGGGATCTCTGCAGTGAAATGTGGCAATGACAGGTCCCCCTGGGACAGGGAAGATGGTGGTAAAGGTGGGCTTGGGTGATAAAGGTGAGTTGGGTGTCCTGAGTCTCCTGCCAACCCCCAGGCCCACCCTGAATTGAGATCAGCCCACACACCACCTTCTCCTGCTCATACCAGTGGGACTGGGAGTCCAGGGGCTGATGGCCTCGCTAGGGCTTGAGGCGAAGCTCCCCAGGATGGCAGCAGACGTGGGTGATAAAACTGCAGCTGAGGTCTCCCCAGAGAACTTCTCAGAGACTCGGGTGACAGCTGTGACTGGCTGGTGGGGCAGCCGCAAGGAGAGGCTCACAGGGCGAGGCTTAGGAGGCTCCGGGGCTGAGGAGGTCCCAGCAACCTCAGAAGGTCCATTGGCTGGACCTGTAACATGCAGCCAGCAGAGGTGGGTCAGCCATGGCAGCCAAAGAGGCCTTAGATCTCCTGCCTCCCAGAGCCTTCCTTGCAGTGCCTCCAGGAAGGCCTCCCTGACCATTCCAGCCTCCATTACCTCCCTTATCAGGGATGTCTTACTGCACCAGAGCTGATTCTTCAGCTCAATAAATATAATTCGTCAATCTACTCTCTACCTACTTCTATGCTTGGACAATTTTTCAGCTTCCATTTGCTTTCTTTTTTAAAAATATTTTACTATTGTTATTTTGTGTGCATGGTTTTGCCTGCATGTAAATGCACCACATGCATGCAGTGCCCACAGAAGCCAGATGAGGGCATTGGTCCCCTGGAACTGGAGTTTCAGAAGGTTATTAGCCACCATTTGGGTGCTGGGAACTCAACCTGGGCCCTCTGGAAGAACAGCAAGTGCTCTTAACCAATGAGCCATCCCTCCAGCCCCTTCCACTTGCTTTTTTTCCAGAAACAGGGGAAGAACACTATCTTGGGGAGCTCCCATTTCTGTGTTTTAAAAGTTCTACTATATACTGAGGGTTTGGGGAGATTGTTAAGTGGTTAAGAGCACTGGCTGCTCTTGCAGAGGACCTGGGTTCGATTACCAGCATCCACATGGCAGCTAACAATCCAGTTCCAGGAGATCCAGTGCTCTCTTCTGTCCTCCAAGGGTACTGCATGACACTGGTGCACTTATATACATGCAGTTTCATACACATAAAATAAAAATAAATCAAAAAAATTTAAGAAAAATTCTACTACATACTGAACAAGGATGCTCCCCTGCAGTCTCTCTGCCTGTTGGCATTCAGTCTTAAGCACCCATGACCACACAGGCACACCTAGCTGAGGGATGGCTGGCACAAATGCCTGGCTGAGGCCCTGAGCCCCAAACCTACCCAGCCACCTCCCTTCTGCCCTGGGTTCCTACCTGTGCCCAGCTGGTGTCCATTCTCAACAATGCTTGAGTTTGAGGTCCGTCTGACCTCAGAATCACAGGTTTCATCATGTTCCACACTCTGCAGAGATACCAACACCAGTGAGCCCCATCACTGGGGGCCAGCTTCCCACCCCAACACCATTTCCCAAAGTCCCTTCTAGTTCTGGTGGTGCAAACCTCACTCATTTGGTGAGAAAGGAGCCCCCAGGAGATACAATGGTGAATGAAAGTCCAGAGATGACTGGAATGAACCCACCTGACTCTGGAGCCTACCACAGCTGAGAAGCAAATACCTCTAAGCTCATTCCCAGAACCCAAGAAGGCCAAGGACAAGCTATAGGTTCTGAAGCAGTATGTTAGGTATCCCTACACACACACACACACACACACACACACACACACACACACACACACAGATGATGTATGGGAGAAGGAGAGCTTGGCCCCTGTTCCTCACAGCTGAACCAGGCCGGCCTGACTACCCACATGGAAGCTCCAGATATGATGAGGTCCTTTGGGCCTGAAGATGGACAAGGAGCCCATTCACCCTGAAGCCTTTTTGCCCAAAGCAGGGACACAAGGGTTCCCCAGATGTGCAGAGTGTGCAGCCCTCCAGGGCTGCAGCAGAGCTGAGACACAGGAACAAACACCAAGAGGGGACTGTGAGGAGGAAGCCTGGGATCCTAAGCTACCAACCCACTATGCAACCTGGGTCACAGCCTATCCCCTCTGGGTTTCAGATGGAGAAACAGGGACAGGGTAGGCAAGTGGAATTTTGGCATCTACCAAATATCAGGCCCATTTCACAGATGCTACCTGAGGGCTTAGTAAAGGGATTTGCACTGCCTGGGGTTGTCTCAGAGAAAACAGGCAAGATGTGTGGCCATAGGAGAAGTCCTCCTTTCCCTGGGCCCTGTTACTTCCCAAAAAAGGTCTGGCAGGCTTAGAGTACCTATGGGGTTGAGGTTTAGGCAATCGCCCTGGCAGAAAGGGATAAAAATGGTCCCTTAACCAGAGACTCTGCTAAGAGCCCATGTAAGGAGGCTTGAGTTGTTGGCTGTACCTTTCCTGAGACATCTCCAGGCTGTTCCCCTAATCTACAAGCTTCCCAGACAACAGTTTTTCCCTGACTTCAGATGAATCAGGTCCTCCTGTAACCAGTGCTGGAGGTATCCATCCAGCTAAGGTGAGAATTGGGAAAACAGGTGCACAGATAGTACTAAGACAGCATGGGATGTCTAAAGCAGTCTTCAGCCCAAAGGGACAAGGGGGTGCTCCCCAAAGGCAGTGTGCCTGAGACAAGTCCACAGTGAGTCGGGCACCCAATAACAGAAGCCATACCCAGCAGAGGGACTAATAGCAACAAAAGCAGGGAGACATCAAGGTCCCAGCGTTGTGATCCCACATGACTCTGATGCCTGCCCATGGTCCTTGGACTTGGCTCCTTAGACAAGAGTGTCTATCAGAAGCCAGCAAGGCATGAGAGGGGAAGACAGATGGTAAGTCAACCCCATAGTTCCTGGAGAACCGGGGAGGAGATATAGGGCAAAAATATGGAAGGCCAAGGGCAAGCACTCTGAGCCTTGGAAAGAAAGGAATCTGGCTGGCAGTGAGCAGATGTGGAGTGGGGAAGGATGCCAAACCTCTTCCAATCCTGAGCTTGGGGCCTGAGTGACAGAAAGATCTATGGTAGTGGTGGTAGGAGGATGACAAGGATTTCCATTTTGGATAAGATGGGTGTAAAGGGCTCCTGAGACATCAGGGAGCTAAGGAGGTAGCATATGAGGCCAAGTATAAAACAAAGGAAGAATGGGCAATGAGGAAACAGTCCCGGCCTCTAGGGGCCCCTGGGAGCCCAGCAGAAAAGGCACTGGCAGCTCAGGGAGCAGAACAGAAGGCATAGCTAGGGAGGTGGGAAGAAACCCAGCAGGAGGTTGAGGAAGCCAGGGAAGGAAGTGAAGCAAGCAGGCCAGCATGTTCAAAGGTGGCCTGAGGTCAAGTCAAAGAAAGTCAGGAAGAGAAAACACATTGCATTTAGCCAAAAAGAGGTCACTGATGATAATGGTGGAAATGGAATCAGGCACAGAGACTAGGGAAGGAGATAGCCTGGGAGAAAGCTGAAGGAAGGGTCAGGCAACCTGGGCCACAGATGTCTCTCCAGCTGCCTACATCCTGGTCCTGTGAGGAGTTGGGGAAGGGGTCCCAGGTTTCTCCAAGTGGAAGAGGAAGCATCACACTGACAGGCTAAGAGAAAGACTCTAGGGGCTAGAGAGATGGCTCAGTGGTTAAGAACACTGGTTGTTCTTGCAGAAGACCCGGGTTCAAATCCCAGCACCCACATGGCGGCTACAACCGTCCTTAACTCCAGTTCCAGGGAAATCCACGGCATTGCACGACACGGGTGCACTTACCTACCTGCAGGCGATATACACATACACATAAAATAAAAATAATAAATAAAATTTAAAAAGAGGGAGAAAGACTCTAGTGAAGTAAGGGGACCATCTGTAGGGTAAGGTCCTGGGAAGGTAACAGAAGACAGGACTCAGACTCTGGGAAGCCTGGCCTGGGATAGAAAGAGACCCTTCAACTTCTGAACCAAGAGGTTCAAGCCTACCCTCAGTATCACAGGACATCTGATGTCTCTTGCACTCAAGAACTTAAGGAGGGAGCACCCCTAGAAGCCTGGTGCCAAGTCAGCAGAGGGAAAGGAACCAGCCAGTCCAGCTAGAAGCCCAGCCTTCATTGTCACCAAGGGCAAACAGCAGCTCTGGGGTCTCTGTGTGTCCCCCCCACACCCTGGTCCAACAGGTTCCACAGGTCTAGTCAGGGGCCTCAAGACACAGACTGATGGTGAAATCATTTTCCCAGGAATGTAGGTGTCTACAAGAGGCTCCCCCACCAGACACCTGTCCCTGCATGTTACAGGCCTTCACCCCACTATGGTGTCCCAGGGGACTGGATAGAAGCAGTTTCTATATTTTTGCATGGGTCAAACACCTGTTTGAGGGGTCTCCATGCAGAGAAGGGTGAGTGGCTAGGAAGGTAGGGGTTTGGGGAAAAGCCAGGACTCCCAGTTTCCACTGCCCCTGGCTCCTCCAGCCCCAAACTATAACCACTTCTGACCTGGGAAAAGGGCTCTTCCATGCTTCAGGCTAAAGGGCTGTTCTGAGACCTCTAACTCATCACCACAGAGAGGGATAGGAGGAAGCCATCAAACGCACATTATGGCTAAAAGCAGTGCCCAAATCAAGATATGGAGCTGGGGTCTCCTCCTGCCATCCAGAGTTCTGTTCACAAAGTACATTGGCCTTACAGAGAACAACTCATGACAAGTGTTGTATCTCAGGACCTGGGTCAGGGTGAGCCTGGTCCCACTTGATATGTCTTAGCCAGATGGCAGAGAGAAAAAGGAGCAAGTGTGAGATAGCACCCAGTGCAACCTTCACAGATAACAGAACCCTGAAATGGAAGGACTGAGCCCCAGCTGGGCTGAAACCCCTGGCATGCTCCCCAGGGGGCCACTGTCTTCCTCTGCTTAGGGTAGTCTGGCCCATGCATGGTTGAGGAGTCCTCTGTGTGCTTATACGAGGGCAGAAATCACAGTAGAGCTCTGGGGCTGAGGACGGGTCCTGCTGAGTTGGCCTAGTACTCCCTCAGGTCCCTATCTCAGCTTTGCTTTAGGAAAGGGGAGGTGCCCCATGAAGGAGCCCAGGCCTGGGAACTCAGTGGGGGAGGTAGGGGATGAGATAAGCGTAGTTTCAAGGACTGGGAGATGGGACCCTCTTATTGGAAAGTTTTTAACATTTCTGTGGAAGAAGGCATAGTATTTCAGGACTGATCCACAGGCCAACACAGAGGGGCAGGGACGGGCAGGGAAGTGGGGCGAGCTCATATGTGGGCTCGGCATAACCTACACAGGGCAGAACCCCCATCCTAGGATGGTTAGTTAACACTGCTGCCCTATCCCGTCTCCACTCACACCACAGTTTTAGTTAGAGGACTCAATCCAAACTTCTCCCCAAAGCATTAAACCTGCTTATCACACTGCCTTTGGGAAAGGCAGGCAGATAAGGTAAGTCTGGTTTCTTTCACTGTGGGGCCTCTGACACCCAGCTCTTGGCAGTTGTTCCAGAGGGACGGTACTGCCTTGACCAAGGGAACTCAGAGGCTCCAGTTTAGCTGAGAGTGACATCTCCACAGAACAGCTAGGTACCAGCCTCCTGGACCTGGGTCTGACCTCAGGCTGCCGCCATCCACCCCACATCCCTAGCCTCCCGACTCCCTCCTTCTAGCCAGACAACAGCAGTGGCTCTTCAGACACTGGTTAACGGTGTCAGCTGGGCACAAAAATAATCTAGCCTACCTACCACGCTGGACCCAATAGGACTAGGACAATCCCCCTTGGTTTATTATTTTATTTCTTAATCCCCTGAAGTTGGAGTTACAGGCGGTTGTGAACCACTTGACATGGGTGCTGGGAATGGAACTTGCATACTCACATGAGCAATATATGCTCAACTGCTGAGCCACCTCTCCAGTCTCTGACCTTTTGCTTTAAATACAGGGAAACTGAAGACTAGCTGAGAGAAGTTATCCCAAGTACCTCCTGTTTGTTCTAGGGTCCTGGGTCGCCTACAGAGAATCTTCCCTGGCAACTTCAGAATACTGTTCTGTCCTCTTCCTCCTCCCAAGCTTCCCTGACCATTCAACTGCCTCCCAGTCCCATGCTGTCAAGGTCTGTGTGCTCAAAAGTAGATGTCCTGATCAACTCCTTCAGCACATTTGCATGCTGAGTACAACCCAACCTGGACCCAGCTGAAGGTCTCTAAAGCTCACTGCCTGTTGCAGAGGGACAGTAGAACACTAGGCTCCACAAGGCCTGGCCACAAACCAAGAGGGGCAGCTACCCCTGGCTTGTAGGCACAGGATGAGACCCTCCCAGTCAGGCCCATGCCACAGACATGGAATATGAGAAGACACATAGCCTGCTTCCCAGCACCCATCTGGTACTCTGTCCATCATCCTTGTTCATGACCAAGTGACACTACCACAAACTGACTGGGAGCCTGTGTGGGTGCTCGCTCCCATGAAGGTGGGCAGTCACGGTGCTTCTAGGGTCAGGCAAGGGGAAGCAGCCTCAGGCCCAGAAAGCTGGAGATCAAGGGCAGCCTCTGATCCAATTGGAGAGGGGCCATCCTCCACCCCCAATGCTAGCTACACTTGCTGCTCACTGCCTCAGGCCCTTTCTCAGGTCTTCAATCTACTCTGCAGCTCCTGGGTCTCTGTCCTCAATCCCAATAGGCTGCAGTATCCCTGCTGATCCAGTTTATTCTTCCATAAGTCTCCCCTCTCTGGATTTCTGGGTACTGGGTCCTCCTCACTTGCTGACAGTTCCTTGGCCAGGTTTTGTTTTCTTTGAACTCACCTCTGCCTCTGTGATGGCACTCAAGACCACACCCATTCTATGACTTCATCTGCCAGCTCTGCCCAGTCAGCTACTCCAGTCTTGATGGTTCTCTGGAGCACTAAACCCAAGAGTTCACCTGCCCCCTCACAGTCAGCATGAACCATCCAGATCTGTGACCCAGTGGTCCCCCAAGCACAGTTCCCCTCTATGCTTCTGTTCTTATCTCCAAAGAGTACCCTGTTCACCGACCCTCACTCTGGAACTCCTGTCTGACAGTCCCAGCTTAGATCCCTTTCTCCTTGGACCATCACAATTAAGTAGCTCATATGATTAATTCCTTAGAATAAAAACATTCTCTCTTAGAGGGAACAGGAAGGTTCATAAGACTCAGGAAACTCACTAAACTTATATGGCTTAAAATCTCAGAAAGTTACAAAACTCACAGGGCCCTTCCCCAAGGTTACAGAAACAGTAAACAACTGCTGGAAGGAGGCTCTCTGGTGGAGCTGCCTGTAAACTGTGCAGGGAACTCCAGGGATGCACTTCAGTGAGTGGTCACCTGCTAGGGTAGGCTTTTTGGTGTTACAGCTGCCTTTGATTCACCCTTGCTCTTGTAAATAACCCCAATAAACTATTTGGCTCACCAAGCTGACCTTGAGTGCCTTATTTGGAATGAACAGACATTTGTTCATGTCTCCCCAGGAAAAGTGACAATAAATGCATCTCCACCCTATAATCCACCCATCCCTGATCAAGGGTGCTAGGTCCAAGGAGGACCCTGTTCTTCCTCTGCACAGCTCCCCTACTCCCCTACCTAGAGAATGGCAAATTCCCATTGCGAAAAGTCACTGCTGGAGAGAATCTCTCTTCTTTCCTCCTC